AGTGTAGCACTCACCACCAGAGTAGAAGCACCAACCCACGTCTACACACTCACCCTCATACCCGTGTCATACACCGGCACCGCCATTAGCGTAGCACTCACCACCAGAATAGAAGCACCAACCCACTTCTACACACTCACCCTCATACCCGTGTCATACACCGGCATCGCCATTAGTGTAGCACTGACAACAAGAGTAGAAGCACCAACCCACTACTACACACTCACCCTCATACCCGTCTCATACACCGGCACCTCCATTAGTGTAGCACTCACCACCAGAATAGAAGCACCAACCCACTACAACACACTCACCCTCATATCCGTGTCATACACCGGCACCTCCATCAGTGTAGCACTGACCACAAGAGTAGAAGCACCAACCCACGTCTACACACTCACCCTCATACCCGTGTCATACATCGGCACCGCCATAAATGTAGCACTCACCACCAGAATAGAAGCACCAACCCACTACTACACACTCACCCTCATACCCGTGTCATACACCGGCACCTCCATTAGTGTAGCATTGACAACAAGCGTAGAAGCACCAACCCACTACTACACACGCACCCTCATACCCGTGTCATACACCGGCATCGCCATAAGTGTGGCACTGACCACCAGAGTAGAAGCACCCACCCACTACTACACACTCACCCTCATACCCGTGTCATACACCGACATCGCCATAAGTGTAGCACTGACCACCAGAGTAGAAGCACCAACCCACTACTACACACGCACCCTCATACCCGTGTCATACACCGGCATCGCCATAAGTGTAGCACTGACCACCAGAATAGAAGCACCAACCCACTACTACACACTCACCCTCATACCCGTGTCATACAATGGCATCGCCATAAGTGTAGCACTGACCACCAGAATAGAAGCACCAACCCTCTACTACACACTCACCCTCATACCCGTGTCATACACCGGCACCGCCATTAGTGTAGCACTGACCACAAGAGTAGAAGCACCCACCCACTAGTACACACTCACCCTCATACCCGTGTCATACACCGGCATCGCCATAAGTGTAGCACTGACCACAAGAGTAGAAGCACCCACCCACTAGTACACACTCACCCTCATACCCGCGTCATACACCGGCATCGCCATCAGTGTAGCACTGACCACAAGAGTAGAAGCACCCACCCACTAGTACACACTCACCCTCATACCCGTGTCATACACCGGCATCGCCATCAGTGTAGCACTGACCACAAGAGTAGAAGCACCAACCCACTAGTACACACTCACCCTCATACCCGTGTCATACACCGGCATCGCCATCAGTGTAGCACTGACCACAAGAGTAGAAGCACCCACCCACTAGTACACACTCACCCTCATACCCGTGTCATACACCGGCATCGCCATCAGTGTAGCACTCACCACCAGGGTAGAATGCTTCGGTCTGGTGACACACAACCTGGCAGCCTGGTCAGTCATTTAAAGCAGACAAACAACTGATAGAAGTCTTTCATTCAGGGACACATGGGGGGACGTTGCCATGAATGAGTGAGTGATTGTGTTCACGCGTGCAGTGAGTGAAGTGTAATCAGTGTTACTGGTGTCAGTAGGTATTGCCCAAATCAGTGAATGATAGCATGAGCAACACCATCCGTATCACATACAACCCCAAGGGAGGGAGTGAGCACGATTTTTCCGTATTTCGGCTTAATCTGACATCGGCTGAACATTTTCAAGTCAAACCCGGGTCATGACCAAACCCAGGACCAAATACCTTACTCACCATGCAATAAAGAAACCATGTTGCTCAATTTGTAATATTATCATATTTATTCATCAAATAGTATACACCCAAGCGGAACTACAACAGATGAAAATAGATAAAGATTTGTGTATTTTGTGTGAGAATGAACCTGAAAATAGGAAACATGTCTGTAAACAGTGATTATAACTTCATGAAAAACCTCGTTCTGGCTGCTTAACTATAAAATTAATATATATATCAAGTATTTAAAGCAGTAGTTAAACCGAGAAGCATTTCTAAGAATTACTTTGAATGTTACACAAGTAGAAAGTTATGTGACCAGAAAAAAACAGCTGTTTTGCAAACTTCGAGAGAAAATGGACACTACAATTTCTTCAAATATCAGACATGATTTAACTTGTACCATGACATTCCGTCCAACATGTTCTTGAAACGTGAACGTCATTGTATATCACTGATTTATGCTGTATACTGAGATGAATGAAAAAATTACACATAAAAATGTGTTTAAGTTTTCGCATGGATTTTAGGAACTTGATTTAACTTGCACCAGATGCATGTTGAATGATAAAACCAAGTTGCGCGAAACAAAACCACGTTGCACCCTCGTCCCATGAATTTACAAAATAGGCCGGTCTGCTGCCAATATCACAGTGTGTGTGTGTGTGTGTGCGTGCGTGCGTGCGTGCGTGCGTGCGTGCGTGCGTGCGTGCGTGCGTGCGTGCGTGTGTGTGTGTGTGTTGAAGGTTGCAACTACACTACATTCACACTATATTCTGTATATTACATCAGGGAGTCTATAGAAGCTAGACAAACATGTTGAAGGTTGCAACTACACTGCACTACATTCACAATATATTCTGTACATTACACCAGGGAGTCTATAGAAGCTAGACGAACATGTTGAAGGTTGCAACTACACTACATTCACACTATATTCTGTACATTACACCAGGGAGTCTATAGAAGCTAGACGAACATGTTGAAGGTTGCAACTACACTACATTCACACAATAGTCTGGTTGAAGGTTGCAACTACACTACATTCACACTATAGTCTGTACATTACACCAGGGAGTCTATAGAAGCTAGACGAACATGTTGAAGGTTGCAACGACACAACATTCACACTATATTCTGTACATTACACCAGGATGTCTATAGAAGCTAGACGAACATGTTGAAGGTTGCAACTACACTACATTCACACTATATTCTGTACATTACACCCGGGAGTCTATAGAAGCTGGACGAACATGTTGAAGGTTGCAACGACACTACATTCACACTATATTCTGTACATTACACCAGGGAGTCTGTAGAAGCTAGACGAACATGTTGAAGGTTGCAACTACACTACATTAACACTATATTCTGTACATTACACCAGGATGTCTATAGAAGCTAGACGAACATGTTGAAGGTTGCAACTACACTACATTCACACTATATTCTGTACATTACACCCGGGAGTCTATAGAAGCTGGACGAACATGTTGAAGGTTGCAACGACACTACATTCACACTATATTCTGTACATTACACCAGGGAGTCTATAGAAGCTAGACGAACATGTTGCAGGTTGCAACTATAGTATGTACATTACACCAGGGAGTCTATAGAAGCTAGACGAACATGTTGAAGGTTGCAATTACACTACATTCACACTATAGTCTGTACATTACACCCGGGAGTCTATAGAAGCTAGCTGAACATGTTGAAGGTTGCAACTACACAACATTCACACTATATTCTGTACATTACACCAGGATGTCTATAGAAGCTAGACGAACATGTTGAAGGTTGCAACTACACTACATTCACACTATATTCTGTACATTACACCAGGGAGTCTATAGAAGCTAGACGAACATGTTGAAGGTTGCAACTACACTACATTCACACAATAGTCTGGTTGAAGGTTGCAACTACACTACATTCACACTATAGTCTGTACATTACACCAGGGAGTCTATAGAAGCTAGACGAACATGTTGAAGGTTGCAACGACACAACATTCACACTATATTCTGTACATTACACCAGGATGTCTATAGAAGCTAGACGAACATGTTGAAGGTTGCAACTACACTACATTCACACTATATTCTGTACATTACACCAGGATGTCTATAGAAGCTAGACGAACATGTTGAAGGTTGCAACTACACTACATTCACACTATATTCTGTATATTACACCCGGGAGTCTATAGAAGCTGGACGAACATGTTGAAGGTTGCAACGACACTACATTCACACTATATTCTGTACATTACACCAGGGAGTCTATAGAAGCTAGACGAACATGTTGAAGGTTGCAACTATAGTATGTACATTACACCAGGGAGTCTATAGAAGCTAGACGAACATGTTGAAGGTTGCAATTACACTACATTCACACTATAGTCTGTACATTACACCCGGGAGTCTATAGAAGCTAGCTGAACATGTTGAAGGTTGCAACTACACAACATTCACACTATATTCTGTACATTACACCAGGATGTCTATAGAAGCTAGACGAACATGTTGAAGGTTGCAACTACACTACATTCACACTATATTCTGTACATTACACCCGGGAGTCTATAGAAGCTGGACGAACATGTTGAAGGTTGCAACGACACTACATTCACACTATATTCTGTACATTACACCAGGGAGTCTGTAGAAGCTAGACGAACATGTTGAAGGTTGCAACTACACTACATTCACACTATATTCTGTACATTACACCAGGATGTCTATAGAAGCTCGACGGACATGTTGAAGGTTGCAACTACACTACATTCACACTATATTCTGTACATTACACCCGGGAGTCTATAGAAGCTGGACGAACATGTTGAAGGTTGCAACGACACTACATTCACACTATATTCTGTACATTACACCAGGGAGTCTATAGAAGCTAGACGAACATGTTGAAGGTTGCAACTATAGTCTGTATATTACACCAGGGAGTCTATAGAAGCTAGACGAACATGTTGAAGGTTGCAATTACACTACATTCACACTATATTCTGTACATTACACCAGGGAGTCTGTAGAAGCTAGACGAACATGTTGAAGGTTGCAACTACACTACATTAACACTATATTCTGTACATTACACCAGGATGTCTATAGAAGCTAGACGAACATGTTGAAGGTTGCAACTACACTACATTCACACTATATTCTGTACATTACACCCGGGAGTCTATAGAAGCTAGCTGAACATGTTGAAGGTTTCAACTACACTGCACTACATTCACACTATATTCTGTACATTACACCAGGGAGTCTACAGAAGCTAGACGGACATGTTGAAGGTTGCAACTACACTACATTCGTACTATAGTCTGTACGTTACACCAGGGAGTCAATGTATTTCTTTTTAGTCCTACAGGGGTTAATTGACAAGTTCTTAGCCTCACAGACGGAACTTAGAAACAGAGAAATCCTTTGTCATAGACATGATGTCGTTGGGGTATATCCACAAGAAGTTTGAGTCAGCTAGGGAAATCGTTTCCCTTTGAGAAATCGGTAAAATAAGCACCAGTCTCTGACTTTTGGAAGCGAAAGGTGATCCAGGAACGAAATGTGATCAAGTACTTGCAGAAATAGAAGTTTAAGGGTTCGTGGTTATCGGCTAGGGAGAGAGTGAGTGATTTACAAACCACAGAATGATGTAAACATTGCCAAAACAAAATAAGCGGCGGTCGGGTAGCTTAGTGGTTAAAGCGTTCGCTCGTCACGCCAAAAAAACGGGCTCGATTCCCGACATGGGTACAATGTGTGAAGCCCATTTCTGATGTCCCCCGCCGTAATATTGGTGGAATATTGCTAAAAGCGGCGTAAAACCATACTCACTCACTCACTCACTCAAAACAAAATGACTATTTGACAGGTACAACGCATGGAGTAAGAGAGTGTAGAGCAGCAGCGAGTAGGTGGGTACGATTTGTCAATGCTTCTCGTCTAACTATGTGGGTATAATTTGACAGCAGCTGAGATTCTGCTGAACACTTTCCAGGAAGTCAAACCCAGTCCACAGGAGCAGACACCTTACCCACCAGGCTACATAGCCACGCCCATAACTATATATATACTGATGAAATCTGAGACGTATTTACCAGTGTGTAATGAATGGGGAACTATGACATGGAATAAAATCTTCGCTAAACACACTCTGCACATCCCTGCTATGCTGTTTTACAAAGTGGTGTGTGACACATCAGCTCCAGCCTTCAGTAGTGGTGTGTCACCTGTCTTATTCTGTACATTCATATCAGCTCCAGCCTCCAGTAACACTTCAATACACTCTGTAGATCCACTCTTTGCTGCTGTATGAAGTGGTGTGTCACCTGTCTTATTCTGTACATTCATATCAGCTCCAGCCTCCAGTAACACTTCAATACACTCTGTAGATCCACTGTCTGCAGCTGTATGAAGTGGTGTGTCACCTGTATTATTTTGTACATTCACATCAGCCCCTGCCTTCAGTAACACATTGACACACACTGTATATTCCTCATCTGCTGCTGCTGTATGAAGTGGTGTGTCACCTGTCTTATTCTGTACATTCACATCAGCCCCAGCCTTCAGTAACATTTCAACACACATTGCAGATCCCCACCCTGCTACTGCTGTTTGAAGTGGTGTGTCACCTATCTTATTCTGTACATTCACATCAGCCCCACCCTTCAGTAACACTTCAACACAGTTTTTAGATCCAAAAAATGCTGCTGTATGAAGTGGTGTGTCACCTGTATTATTCTGTACATTCACATCAGGCCCAGCCTTCAGTAACACTTCAACAGCCATTGCACATCCCCACCCTGCTGCTGCTGTATGAAGTGGTGTGTCACCTGTCTTATTCTGTTCATTCACATCAGGCCCAGCCTTCAGTAACACTACAACACACTCTGCAGATCCCCACCTTCCTGCTGCTGTATGAAGTGGCGTGTCACCTGTATTTTTCTGTACATTCACATCAGCTCCTGCCTTCAGTAACACATCGACACACACTGTATATCCCCGATGTGCTGCTGTATGAAGTGGCGTGTCACCTGTATTTTTCTGTACATTCACATCAGCCCCAGCCTTCAGTAACACATCGACACACACTGTATATCCCCGATGTGCTGCTGTATGAAGTGGTGTGTCACCTGTCTTATTCTGTACATTCACATCAGCCCCAGCCTTCAGTAACACATTGACATACACTGTATATCCCCGATGTGCTGCTGTATGAAGTGGTGCGTCACCTGTATCAGATGAAAGTTGATTCACACTTGCTCCTTTCGCCAGCGGAAATGACATAACATCTGAGTGTCGTCTACATGAGCTGTGAAGAGGAGTGTCTCCATTAGATGACATCATGTTAACAGTAGCACCCTTCTCAAATAACATTTTGACCATAGTCAAGTTCCCCACCTTACAAGCACTGTTTACAGCATCACCATCAACCTGTGCTCCTCTGTCTAAAAGAAAGTCTACCATGTCCTTGTTATAGCTCATGGAAGCAAATCTAAGACCTTTCTGGTTATCCAGATCAAATCCTGTTTTCACCAGCAGATTCACCACCCCTAAGTGACCATTTTGTATGGCAAGGTACAAAGGGTCACCATTTACACGATGCTCATTGACATCCGCACCCGTGTTAATTGCTTGCTCCACGGCTGATGTAAGGCCATACCTGCAAAGGTAATGAAAGACAGTATCTCCTAGGTTATCGCATGCATTCAGGTCAGGGGCAAGGGCCAGAATCTGATCGACAAACTCGCTGTCTTTGGTTTGGGCTGCAAACATGATCGGAGTTATTTTAAACCAACCATATCTAGCATCCATGTCAAGCTTCATGTGTCCACTGATGTAGGTCAATACACTACAAGCAGCATTCTTGCACACCCCAAGTAAAATGTCACGTATTTCACATTGGCTGAATGATATGTTTTCTTTCTCCATAATAACTTTTATCAGATGATGTGACTTGTTGCTTGAAAGCAATTCACAAAATGATTGTCCTGAAGAAATATCAGCTAGTTTCAGAATATCAGGAACAGACATCTGACAGGGTGTCTTCAGACAGTCCATGAGCAAGTCAATAAACTCTGAATTACAACATGCCTCGTGCGATAAGACATGCAACAAATTTCTTCTCGCAATTTCGGTTGCAAATCTTCTGGCTAAATGTCCAGCAAAGGTCCATGAGATGTTTGCAACAAGACCTGTCTCACTAGGAACATTTTCCCCTTGTGTTGTGGATGGTTTAAGACAAAGTCGCTGATGGATGAATGACAAACTACAATTTTCGATGACAAACTTTGGTTGTTTTGTACTGAGTATTAAAGCAACACTGTCATATATAGAGGGATGGTCAAACATGTATGTGTCATCTTCCTTCTTGAGATAAGATCCAACCAAATCATCAGCAGCTGTTATGCTTTCATATGCAAGATTATCATCCTCCTCCAACTCCTGTCCACTAACCTTCCCATCTCTTTTAATCATAGCCATGAACAGTGAACGCTTTATCTTATCCTTAAGAATTTTATCCAAAGTCTTTTTGAGGAACACAAGAGGCATTTTAAAAAAATCTAAAACAGTCTCTGCTGAAGGTTGCGTCTGATCCTTTCCATATGTCGCTACAAACATTTTACATACATGGGGAAAGCCGTGTGGACAGTCAGCCTGACATATCTGAGACACAGTTGACTCATCAAAGTCCATCTTTGTCTTTGTTTTGACATGAACATGCCAAATCTTCCTTCGTTCATTAGAGTCTCTCTGAGAAGAAACTTCCACCACATACAGGGGACTAGATATGTAATCTGCCATCTTTCCCAAGTCTGACAATGAGGATTTCAACACATAATCACGGCCTACGAGGATAATGATAGTTTGGTCTTTGTTAGGCGCTGTTCTTTTCAGCTCTGTTTGCTCATCTTTTGTTCTCTTTAAAACATTTTTGATATCAGTGGACTTGTCTATGGAATCTTTTTCTGTATATTTATCAGGATCTTTCACATCCACAAAAGGTTGTAGACTTGGTCTCCACTTGGCCCATTCTGCTACATCAAATTCCAGATCACCAAATATGTCATCTAACATAATGACAGGGTTAGTGCTGGCCGTTATGACCTCATTGAACTCCTCCGGTGACACCACCTGATACACTTGTCTTCCCTGAGTGTGCTGATCTTTGAGAGCCATGTAGGCTATTGTAGACTTCCCCTCTCCTGGTCTTCCTTTAATTGTCACCCATGTTGCTCCTCTGTCTAGCTTGTCTGTCACCTTCTGCAGGCCTTCTGTCTCCACCATGTCTTTAGTCCACGACTGTATCCTGGATTCCGTTCTTTCTGTAAAACAATTTTATAATTGACTATATTAAAAAATCTATGTTAAAGTTAACAATCTTATTATTATGATAATTTATTCTCAGTTAAAGGAACGTATTGTAGCCATCATCAAATAAGGTTGGACTCTGAGCATCCTTATGTTGACACGTGCCCTCCAAACACAAAATATTAAAAATATTATCTATCAAACTGATCAAACTGAAACATGTTTTCTCACAGCATTTCTCATTTCTGTGTAAGTTATTGTTCTAAACGAGATCAGACAGTTTACGAAAGAAAGTAGATAACTCACTCCTGATCTTCTGTGCTGCAGTCAGTTGTTTCTCCTCTTCCTGGTTGGTCCGAGGTGCACCATCGTTCTGTGTTCCTCTAATGTTCTGGGTTCCGCCAATGTTCAGATTCCTGGCGCCCCTGACTGTCACATCCTCAAAATTCTGCCGTACGTAGAAATAGTTGTACTGGACAACTGAAACAGAAACTGGGACTGAAGCCCTCACAGATGTCTCTATATTTGAACCTAGCTATCTCTATAGACAACGATCATGAAGAGAGGCATACTACTTCATATTAGTCATTATATTTCCATTAAAGGTCTCATTACGTTTTCTAAAATGGCTAACCTGAAATAGAGCAGAGCTTACAACTCTCTGATCAGTCCGGGTGAGATTGTATTGAGGCTGTATACGGTTACAGACACCCTGCCCAAAAATGTAGGCATAGATGCCACAGAATATTCGCTAAAAAGCGTCATTTGTAATTATCCTGTTGTAAGTATTAGAAATCTGAACCATTAGTCATGTGAGTGTACCATGTAACAGCGCTCACCTGCGGGAGAATGCACAGGCACTGGTACCCCAGGTGGCCCTGATGACTGTATCTCTGATACAACAGATCCTGGTATTCTGGGTAGAAGAGTGGATGTGGACGCTGGTGTCAGTGCTGCTGTTCTCGGGACTTGTACAACAGTTGTTTCGGGGACTACACAAGACGTAGTTGTTGACATCTGTGTCCGACTTGTTGTCTGATCAACATCAGCAGCTGAAGCTTGCTGGAGTTGTGTCCCCTGCTGTGGTGCCGACATTACCTCTCCCTGTGGTTGCTGACAACATCCCACAATGTGTTGTGCTAGTACCGTGGTGTCTATGATGGGAACAAACATGGCTATTATCCATTCGGATTAGTTTCAGGAAAACCTTATGGTTACTCAGCCAATGGCCTGTTCTGACCGACATCTTTGTATCTAAGCATGTTGCAATAAAACACTGTTTTGGTTGTTTCATAATTGGCGATGATTACAGTTGGATCACAATGAAAATTTAGAGGACGGTTTTTGAAAAGAAATGTGATCAATTCATAGTTTAACTTCCGATGACATTATGGCAAGAGCGACTGGGAGTCAACTATGGATTTTGATTAAGATGATTACTTGACATGGCTATTCATATTGTGTTTCCATTATTGTGAGGCAGTATAGCCACAATACTCTGTGGCTCACCTGAATTATGACGAAATAATTTAATGCCACTTCAGCCTATTAGTGTTATATCACATGTATGAGTACATCTTCCCGAGGAAAGGGAGTTAACTGACTCTGAAGTCCAGTTTCCAACCTTTCAGTACTTGGGTACGATTACTGTGCTCAATCTTAGCGCCACCAGTGGCTAATACGAGTTATGTCCCTTCTATGACCCTCCTATTGACCAATCAGATTCTCATATCACTTGCATTTGCTTCAAACAAAATGGCTGCACCAGTTCTGATCAGTGAACAAGATATATTGAAATAAAATGGGCCTTGCCTCGCGAAGTGCATCAAATCACCAAATCAAGTGAACACCTTGATTAAAAACTTCAAAAGATTTGGAAAATATCTGTCGACGCCCAGTTGACGGTACACATCATGCACTTGTCAAAAATGTGCACGTTGAAATCAATGTTGTTTACGAACTGCATATCAATTTCGTTATGCGTATTTAATTAGACTGTGCCAGTCCAGCCAAAATATAACTCCATAATTCCAGTCTAGTTCGGCAAGGGTGGAAACTGGACTTAGCTGCGTCCCTTGCCTCGGGAAGATGATATGAGCATAAAAAAATAGCCTGAAATGCACTGCTTTCTTTTATTTTGCATTGGCTCGTTTTGTAACTTGTGTTGGCTCTTTCTGAAACAACAGGAGCCAAGTGACCGAGGAAAAACTCGAACTTGTTGCTGTCAAGAGGGCATCATTACCTAGCCTTACTTCCTGTAAGCATACATACCTTTACCTACAAGTTGGTACGACTGTTGTTGAACCGTCTGGAATTTGACCTTTGTAGCACATGCTCCAAGTTCATACATATCTTCGATTTCATCTCCCTCTTCTTCAACTGTCATGTCACCAAACAAACATTCGTCAACACTCTCTTCATCAACATCTTTATTTCCTGAATCCTCCACAGTACTTCCTGATCCGTCAGTGGTTCCAGGCGGGTTGTCCTCATCATTGCTTTGCCTCCTGCACTTTGCTGGTGTACATTCTTCACTGTCTGTGTCACTTTGACCTTTCTTCATCTCGGCCATATTCAACAACTTCAGCCACTCTAATCTCTATCTTTGAAGATTCTTCACTACTTCCTGTCTTTCATGAGGGTCTTCAATCTAAGTTGGCACCACACTCGTCATCATCATCCTACAACAAAACCGCCTAATGTGTACAACGTCTGTCAACAGGACGGTCCTACATTTTCCGCCACAGCACTGTAGCTCACCTGGATAAGGAGTCAAGTCAATGTTACCTTTCAGTATGGTCGAAGTAAGGTCAATCAGTGTAAAAAAAGAGCACATATCTTGAACCCCACTTACGACACATTTACCAGATTTCATTACATTTTGATAATGACCATAAATAGCCTCCGTGGTGTTTAAAAGATTCCACAGAAGCAGATGGAGGCGCCATTGGACGCCATAGACACAACATATAAAAGCACACTTGAATTTCAGAAAAGCATATGAAGCAATATATTAAGGCTTACACATCGTTGTACCCCTTGTGACTGTAGGATTCAGTTTATAAACATGTCATCATTATATTTCGTGAGGTGCTGTTTCAGAAATACATTTTATGTTTACATGTCATATTAATCAAGGTGAAACAAGGTTTACTGTCAAAACAAACTCCCGGCAAAGAACAAGGGTCTACATGTCAAAACTTCACCAGTTGATTATAAAATAAGCATTAATCGTTACTTGATTTAAAGGTTCATTAATGTTATGTAAGTTCCTGTATGCAAATGTTGGAGGAGTACCGGAAACTTTGATGCAACAATGTCCTCACACTGAAACATGAAAGTTGGGCCATTCATCTGTTTCATTTTGGATGAGTCTACAGATTTAGAAAAAGATATATCATGAACTGTTCCAATTTCATTAAGAATATATCCCAAAACGTTCAATATTATTTTCATTTGCGTATTTATCCTCCATGGATGTGCTGTCATCTAAACCATATTGGTCACCTATCAGTTATCGCCACTCTTCCCTTGTTCTTTCCACTGTTTTGATTCCCGATCGTCGCGTTATAACAGAATACAAATTTCTCGTCGACCAACTGTACGAGTTATAGCCATCGTCTTAACAACACGTGTCATGTGACCACCTGCACCGCCTCAGTTATACCAAATTCTTTTTCTATTTTATCAGGTGTCACACTCAATTTTTGTAGTCAATATAAATAATAACACATGTTTTTATCAATTTATCGGGAGACCGGAAAATAGAGGAACCGCGCTCACAACAGTTTATCATAAACCATCAGCCCTACAGTCCGGCATGTAACTGATGCACCCTGACACCCTGCTGTTAACCTCCCCGTGCCGCTGCAGATGCGCAATAGATGTGCAGACATTCACAACTGGTCATTCTCGTAACCACGTGAACAATATGACATAATATCCTGGGTTAATTCCCTTAGCTGTGATTTCTCCGACTGCGACCAGTGACAATCCGATAAAAGAAAGACAGATTGCAATGATTTTTATCTGATCTCTCCTTAGTACAAGTCAGTTGACTGCTAAGTTTACAAATCAATACAAATAACTGCACAGCAATTACAATGACAGTTTGCAATAGAGTAGTAGAACAATATTCAATATCAGTATCAAATGCAAATATGATGGAGGTGATAATAATGTACACCTATCCGCAACAGTGGTCAAGCTTCCGAGATAGGCTCAGGCTGAACACAAGGGTGAAAAGTGATGTTCATATGGAAACTGGTCTTGATGTAATGTCAGATAATGTGTGATATAACTAGCTTCCAGCACATTCCACACAGTGCTTGACAAGTCCAGTGTCACTAGAACATTACATAATATTCTACATGTTTCGATAACGCTTGAAATCCATCCTATTTCGGAATTTTACAGATAATTCGAGCATCTAAATATAATAACTTCAACACCACTACTTAGAATACATAATATTACATTCCTGACAACTAAACATTGGCCAAATGCAAAGCAATGACCTTCTACTGAATCTCAACAAAAACAATGTAATACAGTTACAATCATTGTCTAACAATCGGCTACATTGCTTTATAACACTCACAGGGGTCCTTTTTGTTGTTTTGTTGTTTGAAAACGAGCAAACATAAAACGAGATGCGATCACGGGCGCGTCGGGGAGTTGGCAGTGTTGCGGTTGTAGGATGTCTATATAATTATGTAAAACAATACGTAAGGCTTGCATTGACCCGGTTGTTCTTATTTCAGAATAAGTGCGTTTGCTTTCAAACAAAAGTTTGATGATATAAGCCTACACGCGCCGGGTGATCGATGTGACCACTGGAGCAGAAACTCCTCTCGCGGAATAAGCCAAGTACACCCGAGTAAGTTCAGGGCTTATCGACTATTGTTTACAAAACAATGCTTCAGAACAGTCCAAGTACTGGACCTTTATATATATAATTTGCTGTTATTCGTCATTCTGTAATAAACAAGAATACTGAAACTAGTTTCGTTTCGTTTCGTTTTAGTTCAGTCATCTACGCCGAGTTGGAGTCTTATGTCAGAATACACACTGTCCCATTCGTTCTCAAATTCAACAAGACATTGAAGAGTGATACAATGAGGTATACAAACAAGCATAACACCGTGGACACTTACTTACTGTGTTGTATGAAGGAGAAATGTGTGAACGAAACCAGAGTCAAGACCCTCTGCAAGGAAGCAGGAAAAACCCGTGCTAAATATAACTGTTTATAAGCTCCTCACAGTCGTGTAGGATAGCAGAAGCAAGCTCCACCCACAGGAGTCTGTATCTAAAAAAAGACGCCCTCATGCATATTCATGACCATCTCCACACGCGAGCTCGGGCTCGCGTGTGGAGATGGTCATGAATATGCATGAGGGCGTCTATTTTTAGATACAGACTCCTGTGCTCCACCGCAGCGCTAGCATGCCTCGCTAAGTAACACCAGCGCCACCCGACGGCAAGGCAAAAACTGGTTCTCCAGGTGATACGCGACGCAAGCTCAGGCAGATAGGCTTATACTTTTGCCAATGCAAAGTACGAGTCTTTTTCCAGTCGTGGGACGTAGCTCAGTGTTGCTTAACATGAAGCGGTGAGAAATGAATACAAATCCGTGTAACGAATAGGGGTACCAGCTCTATTAGCTTTCTATTAGCACCAGATATAAAACGGGCCTTTCCTCTCATGTAGGAAAGCGCACGTTAACTATCCAACATTAAGTAAGTTATGCATACTTGTTTTGGTCTCATAACATGTCATAGTGTCCATTCTGTAGACACCAGAATAGTGTGTATGCACTACACCGTGTAGGTTTAGGACTGTCATTATCGTTGTACATGTATCTTCATAAATCCTTCAGTTTCAAGGGGTTTTTTCAGGCATGAGATCTTGGAAAGATATGGTGTTAACTGACCATTTCGGAAATGGGTTATGATATTTAAAAAAAAGATCCAATGACAAAAATTCGCATATTTTATAAAATATCTTAACAGTTTTTCGATTTTGTACATTTGTGCTTCGTGAAGTGGTTGTGTATTAGTCAAAGTTGGCAAGCCAGTACTCATGGTATTGAGCCTTATTCATTATCAAATAATATTTGTTTTTATATAACTGGTATGAGGCTTTTCAAAATACGTTCAGTCTGTAACATTCAAAGTTTGTTTAGATAAATTAACATATAAGAGTTTTAATAATATTTGTCTATGTACATCATGAGGGAATGTACTGTGGGTGTTTTGCTAAATATATGAATAACTGCTACGCCCGATAAAAAACATACCGACAAGAATCCGATGTTTTAACCTTTGGCATGGTCAGTTAAACCCCGAGGGAGGTGATGCAGCGATTTCAGCGTCCGTCCGTTCTCAAAGGGGACAATTTTCTCTAGGCTATTTAAATCAGAGAAATGATATTGTACAGACTTAGATTACGGGTCATGAACTCAAATGTGTTCGAGAATTGTGCCCTCCATTTTACCCTTTTTCATATTTTAGTTTATAAAATCGTGAATATGCATCTCGAACCACTTAAAGGGCGGATTATTCTACTCCTTCACTCCATCTCTGAGAAATGTGTAAAGAAGTAACAGTTAAGGCAGATTCGTGATATGTGAACAAGCAAGACACATTCGTACAAACACGCTATTTCCCTCTTAGGCCATAGGGTCGAGGTCAGATCAGTGCCTCTTACATCCTGGTCCAGGCAGATGGATTGCATTTAATCCTGTCTCTCCCATCACAGTAACCCGTACACCCGTCTCTACCATCACTGTTACCCGTACTCCCGTCTCTACAATCACTGTTACCCGTACTCCCGTCTTCACCATCACAGTAACCCGTACTCCCGTCTCTCCCATCACTGTAACCCGTACTCCCGTCTCTACCATCACTGTAACCCGTACTCCCGTCTCTCCCATCACTGTAACCCGTACTCCCGTCTCTCCCATCACTGTAACCCGTACTCCCGTCTCTACCATCACTGTAACCCGTACTCCCGTCTCTCCCATCACTGTAACCCGTACTCCCGTCTTCACCATCACTGTAACCCGTATTCCCGTCTCCACCATCACAGTAACCCGTACTCCCGTCTCTACCATCACAGTAACCCGTACTCTCGTCTCTACCATCACTGTTACCCGTACTCCCGTCTCTACCATCACTGTTACCCGTACTCCCGACTCTACCATCACTGTAACCGTACTCCCGTCTCTACCATCACAGTAACCCGTACTCTCGTCTCTCCCATCACAGTAACCCGTACTCCCGTCTCTACCATCACTGTTACCCGTACTTCCCTCTCTACCATCACTGTTACCCGTACTCCCGTCTCTACCATCACTGTAGCCCTTACTCCCGTCTCTTACTGCCATACTTTTCGACCCCTGAATATCCGAGTGGAGAATACGTCTTCAGCAACCCATGCGTGTCGTAAGAGGCGACTAAGGAGATGGGAAGGTCAGACTAGCTGACATGCATGTTGACACATGTGATTCGAAGCTCATGATGTCAATCATTTGATTTTCTTGTCCAGACTCGATTAGTTACAGACCACCGTCATATATCTGGAATAAGTGCGGCGTTAAAAAACAAACAAAAACATACGTTGCACTATTCCTTCCCATGTAGCTGGTCCTTTCCATCCTTAATTATAATGGACAGGTAATTATGTAAAAACAGGTACCAGAGAATTAGCCTGCCCTATAACATTATGAAGATCATTATCCCATTGATCTGATATTTTGTGTTTCCCATCGAATGCTGGTATTTTCACAAGAATTCCACCTTTTAGGACTGTGCCTCTAGTTTTGGGATCAAAATGCCGTTTCTGTTTGGTTCTAGCATGTCTGGATAAAGCTGATGCCAAGTTATACGCATCATTCAGTTTCTTTCTCATGGATTCAACATAGGAGGTCAGCTTTTGTCCAGCATCTCTTTCCCAACAATACTCCAAATCAACAGGCTGCTGCTGTTGCCTTCCACAGAGTAGGGGAAAGGAGACTCCTTCGTCGACTCATGGCGAGTTCTGTTGTAAGCATGAACCAGAGGAGAAAAATCAGGTTTCCAATCTGCTTTCTTATCTGGTTCAAGTGTACCCAACATGTCTAAAGTCTAAATTGTGATGAACCATTCCACATCCCATTTCCTTAGGGATGATAGACGGTGGTTCCAAGCAAATAGCATAATTCCTTTATCAATCTCCCATAAAAATGTGCTACCTCGTCAGAATGGATTCGCTCAGGAATACAATCGTGAACACTGAAATGAAACCTTGCCTGAAGCTTTACAGAATTGGTGCCACTTGAATGTTATCTTGACTCTGTTACTCTTTCCAATCCCTTGTCTATGCCCATGCATGCCAGAATGTCCCAGACGTGGCGGCGGACCAACATCTTCACAAACTGTTTGGTAATCTGGATATAACGTGTGCATCTGCATAGGGCACACCTGATCTGTATTTAAGATCAAAGTTGTATGTTGCCAATGAGGTCAGCCAACGATGTCTGGTAGCATCTAATCGGGCTGATGTCAAAGCATAAGTCAAGGGTTTGTTGTTAGTCATGACTGTAAACTGGTGTCAATATAGATAGTCAAGGCTTATGTCTGTAACGGACCATTTCAGGGCGAGAAATTCGAACTAATAGGCTGGATAGTTTTGTTTTACTTTATTCAGACTCCGACTGGCAAAGGATATCACTTTTAGACTTCCATTTAGCCGTTGTTTTAGAACTGCTCCTAAACCATTTCTACAAGCATCAGTGTGCAATTCAAAAGGTTCAGAACAGTCTGGATACCCCCAAACTGGTGATGATGTGAGAACCAATTTCAGCTTATCAAGAGCAAAGCTTTGATCAGGACCCCATTGCAACTTTGTCACCTTTCTACCAGAACTTTCTCTCTTGCTTTCTTTCACCGAGCTGTTGGTGATAAGAGATTAGTAAGGGGCTTAGCAATGCCAGCAAACTTTGGAACAAATTCTTGGTAATAACCGAGACAACTCTTCAGTTCATCACTGTCCTTTGGAGCAGGCCAGTTAAGTATCTTTTCAACTTTGTCTGGATCAACCGGTATTTCTTCTGAAAAATAATATGACCAACATATTTCACCTCATCCTGGAGTCGACTACATTTCTTGGGAACAAGTTTCAATTCACTTTCCCTCGAACATTGGAAAACGAGTCTAAGTCGTGATGAGTGTTCCTCCATGCAAAGTCTATCAGATCATCTAAATATATCATACGGATTTAAAAATGGAGATCACTACAAATCTGTTCAATTTCCATTTGGTACGTAGCAGGAACATAAACTAAATCAAATGTGAGCCTGTTAAATTCATAGAACCCTGAAGGTCCTGCTGTGAAATCTGTGAAACGTTTATGACTTTCATCAACTCCAATCTGATGATATCCAGATTTCATTTCAAGGATACTGTTGACCTGAGACCCTACTACACAATCAAGGATTTCCTCCACTCTCAGGAGCGCATAAGATTCTCGAACTGTCTGACGATACAAAGATAATAATACACACAAACTGTATGGGGAGAGTCTCTTTTGCGAACTAAAACCATGTTCGAAGCCCTAAGGCTAAATGACGCCCGAATCACACCAGAAGCTTACAGTTGATTTGTTCTTTGACCTCATCATCAAGTCCCGATGGTATACGCCTATGTCTCTGCCTACATGGATGGTGATGAAGGTGGTGATGGTGATGGTGATGAAGGTGGTGATGGTGATGGTGATGGTGATGGTGATGGTGATGATGTTGATGGTGATGGTGGTGATGGTGATGGTGATGGTGGTGGTGATGGTGATGAAGGTGGTGATGGTGATGGTGATGGTGATGGTGATGGTGATGGTGATGGTGGTGGTGATGGTGATGGTGATGGTGATGAAGGTGGTGATGGTGATGGTGGTGGTGATGGTGATGATGATGGTGATGGTGGTGGTGGTGGTGATGGTGATGGTGATGGTGATGGTGGTGATGGTGATGGTGGTGGTGATGGTGATGGTGGTGGTGGTGGTGATGGTGGTGGTGATGGTGGTGGTGATGGTGATGGTGGTGGTGGTGGTGATGGTGATGGTGATGGTGATGGTGGTGATGGTGATGAAGGTGGTGATGGTGATGGTGATGATGGTGGTGATGGTGATGGTGGTGGTGATGGTGATGGTGATGGTGATGGTGATGGTGATGGTGATGGTGATGGTGATGGTGATGGTGGTGATGGTGATGAAGGTGGTGATGGTGATGGTGATGGTGGTGGTGATGGTGGTGGTGATGGTGGTGGTGGTGGTGATGGTGATGGTGATGGTGGTGGTGATGGTGATG